GTTTTGTAAGGTTTCCAATGGCTTCAGATCTTTTCTGTGTGATGTATGGGCGCATGTGCAAGTACGGAGCTCCTTACTTCTCTGCCATCTTGCCCCATTCCTCCACATCTTCTTTATCTATTGAGCAGTCAGTGAACATTTAGGCTTTTCCATAATTTGGCTATTGTTGATAGTGCTGCTATAAACATTGGGGGACATGTGCCCGTTCAATCTTGAAATGATATCCACATTTCCATATTCACTGCAGGATTAATCACAATAGCCAAGAAGTTGAAACAAACTAAATGTCCATCAGTGGATAAATTGATAAAGAAAATGTGGTTATACATGCAGTGTGATATTATTCAGCTTTTAAAAAGAAGGGAATCCTTCCACATATTACAATATGAATAAAACTTGAGAATGTTTTGCTAAGTAAAATAAGGAAGGAGAAATCCTGTATCGTTTTATTTATATGATGTAGCTAAAGTAGTCAAACTCATAGAAGCAGAATGTAAAATAGTGGTTGCCAGGGACTAGGGAAATGGGAAGTTTCTGTTCAATGGGCCTAGAATCTGAGTCATGCAGCTGAAAAAGTTCTGGATCTTTCTGTACAAAAAGGTGCAAATAATTAAGAATATTGTTACTATACACTTAAAAGCTTAAGATGACAGGGTTCTGATAGATGCTTCTTACAATAATAACAATGTCAGTGATGTTATAGCAATACAATAGAAGACAATGAATGATCAGTTGAGTAATAAGAGTGTGGTGTTCAAATAGATAGATATCTATAGTTAAACAATGATATATTAAGATGAGGAGTCATTGGTTTAGCAACATGTAAGTCATTGACAAAACCCAAAAGAGCATTTCTATAGAGGGTGAGAGCAAAATCAATAAGGAGATTATTTTATTTTATTTAAAAAAATTTTTTTTAATGTTTTTTATTTATTTCTAGGGGAGAGAGAGAGAGAGAGAGCGAGCGAGCAGGGGAGGGTCAGAGAGAGAGGGAGTCACAGACTCTGAAACAGGCTCCAGGCTCTGAGCTGGCAGTCAGCACAGAGCCCGATGCGGGGCTTGAACCCACGAACCACGAGATCATGACCTAAACGAAAGTCGGACGCTTAACCGACTAAGCCACCCAGGCGTCCCAAGGAGATAATTTTTAAAAAATTAGGAAACTGGTGGATAGTGGAAGAGAATAAAGGAACTAGTTACCATACAGAGTCAAAATAATAGCAACTTTTAGTATGGAAAGAAAGGTTTGTTATTGAGAAGGTTCTCTTGTGGGCTACTGAGTCTGGGAAATGTCTATCCCCTGACATGTATAGTGGTTGCAAGCTGGTTTGTACTAAAATGATTTTTTAATCCATACTTTTTTGTGTGTATTTTTGTGTTCTATTTAATAATATCTAAATTTAAAACACTTCATAAACTAAGAATGTAAAGAAGGACATGTATTACTACATATAGAAGCTGAGAATTGGGACAGTTAACGAGAGAAAATTGTAGGATTAAGAAAGGTTTCATTGTTCTTAATGGGAGAAATAAGATTTATACTCTGATAGGAATGATTCAGTTAAAAGTAAAACTGACAATAAAAAAAGAAGTGAGGAAAATTGCTGCAGTTATATTCTTAGAGAGACACTGGAAGATGAGAGGTTTGACTTTAGTTAGGAACAATGACAATTTAACTCTAATAAGAGGAGTACAGTTTGACAGTGACCAAAGATTTAAGTAGGTGGGTAAATGTAGATGTGAATTTGCAGAAGATTTATTCTCACTTCTGTTTTCCAATTCAGACAGACATAAGGTCATCAAATGATCTTGAGGTTCGAAGAAGAGGAGCTGCAGGTTTGATGAAACTGGAGATCTTTTGAAGTTGAAGTCTAAGGGTGTGGGAGAAAGATTGAAATAAGAAAATACAACATGATTGTTTGCATCATTAGAGATCCACTTGAGGTTTGTGGTTATGATTTCAAAGTGAGAACAGTCAGCATAATTATGTGTTTTTTTAGGGTTATGGTTTGACAGGTGATTAAGAAGTAGCCAAAAAGGGCCAAGGGAACTGAGGTTGTCTAAAAGGAAGTAATTATAATAATTAATCTTGCTTCAATCTGGGAAGAGAAGTGAAAAGATGAGACGGTTAAGAGGCAGTTAAGAAGGATGTATGGTGTGAAAGAAATGTTGGAGTTAGAGTACTTGGGAGAGTACACTGTTAAGAAACTGTGATCAGAAATTAGGGGATTAGAAATGAAGATGACTGCAAGGGTCAGTGCACCTGGGTGGCTCAGCTGGTTAAGCGTCTGACTCTTGGTTTCAGCTCAGGTCATGATCTCAGTGTTTTTGAGTTAGAGTCTATCAATGAGCTCCAAACTGACAGCGCAGGACCTGATTATAATTCTGTGTCTCCCTCTTTCGCTGCCCCTCTCTGCTCATGTTCTCTCAGAGAGATCTGAGAATAAATAAACTTAAAAAAAGGTGAGATTGATGTAGTCCCATGGTATGAAAATAGGAAGGAATTGCTAAGGTAGGGAAGTAGACAAAATGGTTGAGGACACAAAGGTGGAGATAGTTTGACTGGGAAAGTATTGGAAATATAATCTATCTGGGTATCAGAATTACTGAAAATTATGTTAGGAGGAATTAGAGAAAGTGGCAGTGAGCCCAAATTCAGTCTTCAAGGAATCAGAAGTTAAGGGGTCTTTAGGGGGTTGCAAAGTAGAATAGCATGTTTTAATTTGATGAAAATAGTTCAGACATTTAGAGAAAGAAATTTGTGAGAAAGAAATTCCTGGAAGTAACAAGGATGAGAACATTACCTGTGTCATCTGAGGCCCCATGGTATGGAGGTCAGGATACAGAAAAAAATTTTTTTTTAATTTCTATTAGAATCAGAAGATATTGAAGAAAACATTGAGTTGGAAGATTCAAGATTTTATTTCTGACTCATTAAAAGTTACAGAAAGTACACTGGAAGAATGCTGGGGGCTGAAGACTGTGGATACATGGGGTCAGCTTCTTTGGATCATAGACACCTGGCACTATGTGTAGTGATTTGATAATCCTGGTTTTAGAGATGGTTAGTTGAGATGTTTGGGGAAGGGGGTTTTGTGCACCTTGTTAGAAGCTTGCATAACTCTAGCACTCCTTTTTCCACTCACTCCAATAGTGACATGGTACCTAGAGAACTGGAGCTCTTACTCAAAGTCACCCACATACCTGGAACTCCTTACTAGCTCCAAGTGCATATCAGAGCTTCCATTCTAAGGGTATGGACGCCAAATAAGAAGCGATCCTACCTAGAGCACTGGACTTCTGTGGTCCTTTCTTGATTCTAGTGGAGGCAAAGTAATTCTATTGAATAGGACATGTATCAACCACACTTAAGGAGGTTTGCACACAATAAACATTCTGTAGTGCACACTATCCCATGCTGAAGTATTGTCCTCTTTTTTGACTTTTATTTTCAATGTACAAGCATATTAGCACTTCTGGAAAATATAGTTCCCTACTTATGTTGTATCTTAACAGATAAGGTTTGTATGTAATAGAGAAAGAAATGGATATTTTTCTTACCCCCATTGATCTTGCAAAGATTCCAATTGAAGCAGTAAATCCTTCTTGTACAATAGCTCTTGTGAGCTCCTTTCAAGAACACTTTTCCTTGCATGTAGAACATGAATTTGAAAAGTCTGAGAAAAAGCTGTTTGTCAGAGTAGCAGGTCAGCTGATGTCTTTTTAAAAAAGTATTTACTGTCTTTCATATGCTTTACACATTTTATCAGACCCTAATGATAAAAGTAAAGAAAGAAAATTGTCTTTATAGGCAATATTTGATTTAAGTATTTTGTGCCAAGAATTGGACTAAATCCTGATGACACACAACAACAAATGTAGATCTTACCTTTTAGTTCTTGCATTCATAATCTATAGACAGATTCACCTGGAAACAAATTGCAATAAAACATAGTCACTTTTTTATGCAGAGATAAAAAGGCCATGGTGGAAAAAATGGTCTGATTAAAAATATACCTCCTTTACTTAATTTATTTACTAGTATTTGCTTAAGATAAGCACTTTTAAAACCCATTACCACTAATAATGACAATACTGAATTATAAGCTTTTTTATTAGCACTCAAAACATGTGAGGGACTCTACGTATAAAGTATTTTACTTACATGATCCTCAGAAGAATCCTACAGGGTAATTCCTCTTAATTCCATTTTACTGATTGAATAATAAAGGTTCAGAGAAATTGTGTTGTTTTGCTAAAACTGACAAGTTACACAAAGCTCTAGCAAAGGCTTATCAAATGGCAGGGCTAATATGATTCCAGCCATGCCATGGTGTATCTACCAATATTTGTAGAACATGAGCTAATGCAGTTCTTTTTCTTCTTGGTGTGGATCCTTGCTACTTCCCTTGGATGTTTTAAGAAGTGAAAAATACATTAGTCATTTGTAATTATAGATCTGCTTTCTGGAAAATAAGTTAATGATTTAACTTATGCAAATAAGCTCATAAGTTATTTAATACAGCACTTTTTCAATATTAGAGAAGTCAGTGTGCATTTAAAGCATAACATTCTATTAGGATGTAAGTGAGAGAAACTTTGCACTGAAAATACATTCTTGTCCAAATATGTCAATAAAAACATTTTGTGTTCCTACTGAAACTGCTAGGCCAGTGGCATCTGCATCCTAAATTAAACATCTTCATGCAAAAAAAAAATTATCAAATATGCTGACATGTTAGCACAAAAATAGCACTCACTTGTGTACATTTATTGCCAAAAAGACCAGACAGCATATTATTTTTACAGTATTTCATGTAGTGTGTATTTTACCACAACGTAAATTGCCAACTTGTGAAGGCAAACTTTATCCTTGCTATCAAAGTTGCAGAATACACAGCAAAGCTTTAATATATATAATACAGTTTGGGCTCTTCAAAAACTAATTTTTGAGGTGTCTAAGTGCTTGTATTTAGGTTTAATGAGCTCTAAACCTTAATGTTTTACATGTGTCTAATTATTCATAAATGCAAAAATAAACTGTACATAATTTCTTGTTATTGGCAAAGAGATTTATTACAATGGAAATGAGGTGAGCCATATTGTAAAATGCTGGGTCTTTTTATATAAATGCAAATAAAAACCATAATACAGTAAAAACTCTTTTTAGAGTTGCCATGCTACAGAACATTGGATTATAGTGCTAGCCAAATCCTGTTTGAATGTATATAATAAGGTCTAATATACTTTCCTCATAACACATAAACCCATTAATATGTATGTAACTCTTTCCTTATGAAATAAATATTCCCTGTAATTCATCACTAATATAGTACAAGCAATACAGCCTTCTGATCTTTGAAAGTAAAGGTATTACTGAGTCATTTATCACACTGACTTTATCCACCAGTTTACAACTCTCTTAAAGGAGAACTGGAATATTAATTTTTTATATGAACCACATGGGCTTTTTCTGAATGAGGGACTGACTCATCAACTCTAGTTGAAAAATCCACAAACAGAAATAGTAAATCAGTTTTCACATATTGCCCTTGTTTAGTAATAGTTGATGTACCACTGGGAAAGTCTTAGGTACTGAAGATCAAGGGTATTCACAAGCTCTAGTCATCTTAAGCCTTTTTATCCAGTGTTTTCAAAAGATAATCACAAAAACCAGAAATAAGGGGGGAATGCACAGACTTCACTTAACAATACTAATTGGGCAATTGTTCAATTCTTAAATTCTGGGCCCACATGTTAAAAGATAAATAAGAAAGGTTTATTATACCTGTAATGTCCATCAAAACACATATACACATATGTATAACAATAAGTCTCTATAAAATATGACATTAAAATTGTGGGAAAAACTTAATCATAAGCTTTTTCAAAAATGGACTTTTCTTATTTTCCAACTTCCTATTCTATTTTAACAAAAATCATACTTGAAAAACTAATACTATCAGTGAATATGTTAATATTTATTCGTGGGTTACCATCCCAGATAAAATGACTCAATTTTTACTTCAGTCGATGCTTCTCTTTTATTGGGTATAGATGCTCAATACAAAATACTTTGAACTTACTTGAGATTAAATATACACCCCCCCCACCACCAAGATTCCATATCCATTGTTTCTGTATAGAATTGTAATAGTATTTGAGGATCCTAAATATTTCTATTCATACATTTCTGAGACTATAAATTGCCAGAGAATCAGAATTTCTAACAAGCCTTATGTGATGTTCATACTGACAGTCTTTGTACCACACTTTGAGTAGTTAAGGGTATTATTCCTGGTGACATGGAAAAGAATGGGTTTGAAAAGGCCACCAGAATATCTTCTTCTTTGGAAGGATGTGGTAGGAGTAAATGAGCTAAGAGGTTCTTCTGAATTATTGAAATGATATTGAAAGTAAATCTACGTATAGAATTTATAGAACTTGACAGCTAAATGTGTACAGAGGATGTGAAGAGTCTTGGGAATAAACACTCTATTCCAGCCAATACAATTCCATGTTTATTTTATACTATTTTTATAGTATTATATGGATACTATTCTACTACTATTAAACTAGTATACTACTAAATTTGAATTCAGAACAAAACTAATTCCTATATTAAGGAGGGATATCTCATCTGAAAGGTAAAGCTCTTCCTTATTGTTCAAATTAACTGGAGAAAGAATTTCTTCTATTCAACCTAGAGCCAAAGAACAAAGAGATGAACATGCAGTGTAAAATATTAATTTATCCACCTTGGTCTTTTGATAAAGTTCAGCTAAAACTTAGAAATTTAAAGGACTTGAATGAGGCAGGCAAAATTATATGGAAAATTTTAGGAATAAGGAGAGATTATGCAGAACAGTGAGGAATAGTAAGTGGCTATCCCGTGATCTGTAAGTACTTGAAACAACGTAATTATGGCACTGGTCAGATGGTTATTATATATAGGCCAGGCTATATCTATCTATCTATCTATCTATCTATACACTCTAAAAACAGACAATATCAATACAAAAATAGAGAAATAAAGATGATAACACAACATAAGGGATAGGTAACAGTGAGGTTTTATTGTATGTTTGGTGGCATGCCAGTTAATATATATGTGTATGCGTGTGTGTGTGTATGTGTCTAGAAATAATACTCATACCAAATTTCAGAGATGATTCATACAGTCTACCATCCTACTTTTGAGAAGGCTCAGAGAAGTTAAATCATTTCTTCAAACTCTTGATAATTGAAACAGAGATGTAATTTAAAAGATACCACCCTCATTCTACACAGATAGAACTCCTCAAAACCTTACATCAAAAGCATCATTCTTTGAAGAGCCTTTCCTGAATTTTAAAAGCCCTCTATCATTTTTGGAACAACTGTCATCCAGCATTGGGGGAGTAAATTTCTGTAGTTTTGGGATATGAGTTTATGGAGTCCACCGCAGTCTCTATCAGGCCCTGGCTCCAAAGGGGCAAGCTGCCCAAAAATTTATTCCATTTACATCATCATGGGATGCAGAAAAATTGTGATGCCACATTGGTGCTCATTTGTGGTGACTTGCATTCATATCTGACATAGGATAAAGAGCCTTCACCTATACTGATTAGACAGTAAAGTAACATATAAGTAACTCTTTCTTCCTATGATTTAAGTTTTCATCAGTATATCACTGTATCTACACAGATCTTGAATTCTGTGATTTGTTTATAGATTAAGCTATGATTGATATAAAATAAAGCACATACTTAAGTGGACCCCTTGACATATTTTGGTATATAAATACACCTGGGGATCCACCACACCCATAATTTGTCCTTTGCCCATTTGTAATTCATCTCTCTCTTCTTCCTCCACTGTCTCAAGGCTACTATTTTTATGTATTTTTAAAATCTCATTGTTTTTCTAAATGTTGTTTCTGCCAGTCAAAAAAAAGTTTTTGTTCCCCAGGGCCCTGCACATCTTGGAAGTGGTCCTGGATTTGAATGCTATTTGTTCTGGCTTCAAAGCATTTTTAATTTATTATACTATACTCTCATAAACTTTATACTATGTCTATTTCATTTATATTTACTTACTCTTTTTAATTTTTATATTTCATGTTTTTATTCAAATTTTAATTGGTTAACATATATGGTAAAATTGGTTTCAGGTATAGAATTTAGTGATTCATCACCTACATATAACACCCAGTGCTCATCACAAGTGCCCTCCTTAATACCCATCACCCATTTAGCCCATTCCCCACCCACTTCCCTTCATCAACAGTCACTTTGTTCCCTAGATAACAGTTCTTATGGTTTGTTCTCTCTCCCTTTTTTTCACTTCCCCTGTGTCCATCTCTTTTGTTTCTTAAATTCCACATATGAGTGAAATCATATGGTATTTTGTCTTTCTCTGACTGACTTAATTCGCTTAGCAGAATACACTCTACCTCCATATCATTGCAAATGGCAAGATGTCATTCTTTGTGATGGCTGAGTAACATTACATTGTGTATGTTTGTGTCTTTATTCATCAGTCAGTGGACATTTGGGTTCTTTCCATAGTTCAGCTATGTTGATAATGTTCCTATAAACATCAGGGTGCATATGCCCCTTCAAATCAGTATTTTTGTGACCTTTGTGTAACCTAGTAGTGCGATCGCTAGGTTATAGGGTAGTTCTATTTTTAACTTTTTGAGAAACCCTCTGTTTACTACCAGGCTAAGATTTTTAAAGCATTTTATTAAGAACGTCTTCTAATAAGTGAAACAAAGAACAGACTATGTTAGCATGTTTTGGCAAGAGCATTAAATGTTTAATTCCAAGATACTATGATGAAGAAGCATAATTATGGTAATGGTAATAAAAGTAAGATAAAACTCCAGACCAAGTATAAAGTACTTGATGAGGCAAAATTTAATATATGAAAATTTCCTTTGCAGTG